CCATATGCATTTTCTCTTGTTATATTATATAGGACAAGAACACCCAGAAAACTATTTAAAGAAGGGAAAGGGTCGCCTCTACGAATCCCAAAAGCACACAAATTGAGCTAAACTTTCTAGCTCTAAAAATTGTGAGTGGTGAATTGACCTCATTTTCTATTTTTTACACGTTTTACAGTCTGCACTATGATATGGTCTTTCTTTTATGTTTTAAAGAACAATACATAAATACTAGTATCCCAAAGTAGGGCACGTATCTAAGGTGTATATATATATATATATATATATATATATATATATATATATATATATATACATTTACTGCTATACTGCACCGTATAGTTCTTATATACAGAGTTTCCACTGTATATTAACATGGCGCTTCACCATCACATTTGTTCCAATTCGTAGAGAAAATCTTTGAAGACTTTTAGATGAGGCTGACTGGTAGACAGCAGACCTGAGCAACTACGCCATTGGCACCTATTGCTCTACAGCGCCCCCACATTGCTACTCTCTCCGGCTGTCAGTGGCTCTGGTAAAGGAAAGGGGCCTGCATTTGGGTGGATGTACCTACAACAACTCAGGGTCACTGCTGTGCAGGTGGTGTCCTGGCCACCGGGGAATACACTATGTCGAAGGTCCAAGGGACAGTGGGAAGTTTGGCCTAATTCTGAGTTACAGGACGGTGTCCTGTCACTGGCTGGGATTGGGTGATCTTTCCAGGGGAAGGAAAGAGCCTCTATGTCGCTAATTCTGAGGTTACCCGTATTTTATCACTTCTTTTTCAACATGCTCCTATTTATGCCTAGACTACACAATATACAAGAGGCTTTGTTCATCTGTATGCAATTTATATCACTTCAAAAAGGCTTGAATAATCTATATGTGACTACATGTGCAGTTTCATCTCGTTGCACACAACAGTTAATTCTGTATTACTTCAGCTATATTCAAACTGCTCATGTTGTATCATAATGCTTTTGCACATTTTATGTTTGTCAATGTCACTGCTACGTTTTCTGTTGTACATGTGCCTTAATCAATTATTGATAGACAAAAAATATAAAAATAAAAACTCATTTAAGATTGGACAAAATACCTTTTAGAACAATATACAGATTGAATCTTACCTCTCAGATACAAAAAAATAGAACACTTTTTGCTATCATATACATCCCTACATTTGAAATGGACAAAGAGGGACGTTTTAATTTTAGGAGTGTGAGAGGGGGTGTCACCAGTCGGGGCTGTTCTCAGACATTTTAGCTGACTTACCAATAACAATTTTTGCAACTAGAACAAGAATAATATATAGTATTCACACAGACTAATTTCTAGAGACATTTATTGTAGTAGTAAGACACGTTACTGTGAATTTTATTGTAGTGGAGCTGTTATAAACTCAGACACACCAACGTACATACAGATTGAAGCTCCTGCAAACAAGGGACATTCAGGTAAAAAAGAAGTCCAGCGGGACTTGTACCCCAAAGGGACTCGCTTACTTAAGTAGGGAAACTTGGGATGTATGCTATCACCCGTTCATATAATTCATTTATGGTATATTCCCTGTTTATTTGCTCACTTATACACTGTTAGAGTGTTCACTCCTGTGGCTAATATATGCCTATCATATTTACATCACACAAGTGTCCTGTCCTGTTGATTTCACGGTTGAGATTAGTAGTACTGATTTTTGTGTTCACATAGCACCTTTATGTTGCATATTTGTTGTTTTTACCTGCACCAACGAGTTTGTGCTCATATTATGATGGCTAATATGACTGTTATTCTTTTGTAAATGTCAGGTGCAACAAGAAACACTGCCAAGTTGAGAGAGGCTTCTTTAAATCAAAATTATGTGGTTGATAAACCAACACTAAATATGTAGGACTCTCACTCGAGATGAACTCTGCAAAGGCTATTTTGGTAGAAACTCAGGAGTTCTGTGAATAGGCCTAAATTTGCCATTTTTCAATGCTAATATATTTGTTATTCTGTCAAGTTTGCATTAAACATTTTGTCTGGTGAAGAGGTTGAATAACTGCACATCTAATTGTCATGAATTGAAGATGCAATTGCAAATTATACTCTAAAATAGGCCAGCTCTGACATTAGCTGTCATGTTGCCTAGACCAAGCTTCCATTCTCAAGCCACCTCATGTTGTGACACTGTGCATCATTTCAGGGAATACATTTGTGACACTAGACACTTTGTTAGACCACTGTTTTATCCACAATAGCTTACTGCCTTTGGTGTCATCCATGTTAGTTTTCACTTGCACTTCCACATTATGACATCATAGCATAGTGATGGCTAACCTTGACACTATAAATTGTTTCTGGACTACATTTCCCATGATGCTCAGCTAGCTTTTAGAGTCTAAAAGCTAGCTGAGCATCATGCAAAATGTAGTTCAGAAACAATTTATGGTGTCAAGGTTAGCCATCATTGTCATAGCATCATGACGTCACCAACGAAGGTGGTGGGTTTAGAATGTCTGGTAGCCATTTTGGTATGCCCAAAACACAGTTAAACGTTTCTTACCTGCCATATTAACACAAGGAAGCTGTGTCAAATCGGCCTCCATCAAAATTGGATGCCAGGATGTGTGTGAACTGAATCTTAGAAGTTACACTGATGGGTAAGGCCAGGGACATTTTAGGTGACTTACTAATAACAAACTAAAATATATTTTGAACAAGAACAATGTATCTTATCTACATAGATTGATTTCTAAACATGTTTATTGTTGTTAACAGACACATTACTGGGAGTATTAGTGCTGCAGAGTTATTTTAATTTTATTTTTGAGGTGCATTAGAGGGTTACATAGAGACCTGAGGTGCCCCAAAGGCAGTCCTCGGGTTTAGCTTCACTTTCGTTTTGACATGCACAAAATTTGTATTTTATATATCATGCAATAAACAGTTGTCGATTCGCAATGCCTCATTTTTACTTATAGTTAGAGTAGAAACAAGCTAGGCTATGGCATATGGTAGGTGGGTATATGTATACAAGTTAAGTCACATAGATTAACAGTAGTTTCATACTAGCTAATAAACATCACTATTGCATCTCAATTATCGATGCGTTGTGTGAATGCTGGCTGGGAGATAAAAACAACATCAGTGACTAGGCTTAACATTTCTAGTGATATTCAGATTTTACTGTAAGAGAAATACGCTGAATAAAGCCCTCCAGGAAGGCAGATGCTGGCTAGTACAAGGGCTATCTAGACATGCAGGGAGCCGGGATCTCACAGGAGTTCCCCGCCAACATGGGCAGCAGCGGTGGGTAGTAGATTCGCTCCCAGAGCTGCATTGGATCCATAGGTGTCTGGGTCAGTGTCATGTGCTGTGCATCTCTCCGGGGTTTGCCGGTTGCTGGGGTGTTCGTCCTCAGCTAGTATTGTGCACTCTCATGGGTGTCCCTCTGCTCCAGCCCCAAATTGTGAGTGGGTCTTGCATCCCAAGTCCGTGAGGTCTTGTATGAAATGCTGGGTCATGGTCCCCGCTGACCCGCTCATGCGAACAGTGACCGGAGGCAGATGTCTCCTATCTCGTGGGTAGGGGCCCTGTGCGGGGCTGCTGCGGTTCGCCCATGCGTTGCTTGGTCACTCTCCAGCTGCTCCCCCCAGTGTCAGCTTGGGGGTGTTAATTGCTGATATTGCTGTCGTCCGCACTGACCTCCTGGGAGGTATCCAGCCTCCTCTCAGGTACTGCGGTCGCTCTGCTCTATGGTGCAGTTTACGCGACGGCCATCTTAGCTTGTGCCATGAGGGCCCAGACTGGTCTCACCGTCGCCCAGCTCCCTGGAGTGTGCTCTGATGAGCCCGAGAGAGGCCCCATCGGACCAAGCAGGGGAGATCGTCCGTTTCTCCTGCCAGAGCCTCACAGCAGGCCCAAACTCAGCGGCCCAGACAGGAGCTGACTTTGCACATGGAGATGTCGCTTGGATCCCCCTGCCAGTTGGCATCTGTTAGGTATGATTTCCAGGGGGAACTAGGCATATTTAGCCAGTTTTGCAAGGGTTCATGAAGGAGCTGATGTGCTCCATGTCCTTCCAGCTTGGCGGCCAGGCCCTGCCCCCGCTACAGAGTTATTTTATACACTCTGACAATATGGAGCTCACAGAAAAGAGGGACATTAGGACAGAAAAGCTGGTCAGAGGGAATTGGGCTCAAAATAGGGACTGTCCCTATTTGTGAATGTATGTGGTTTTCAGCCTCACTTTCACATTTCCAGTTATATATCATTCTGCTGTCTACTAGTTGTGTAAAATCGAGAACAGTGGTTTTCAGTAACCTGATATGTTGGTGCAGAACAGCATACATTGAAAAGTCATAACAGATCTCACATCCTCTAGTTTAAGTCACTCTTGTGGTATGACCTCATTGCTGTACTTATTGTTGATGCAAAACCTCAAGCTTATCTTTTTCTTTATCAAACCTATTATCAAACTCTCAGGCAGTAAGTTATGTCCTGCACTGCAATGAGCTAAGCCCTCCCTAGGAATTTACAGCTCTCCAACATTAATAGTGAAGGTGGGTAAGATGCTTCAGGTAAGTTTTCAAACTAGTCAAAAATGGTTTATGTATAATGGGGGGACACCAGGGTATCCCTGGCAACATAGCCACTCATGCGAGCTATGGTGCTTGAATTTGAAAGTCACTTTGAATTCCCGTAATAAACCCATAAACCTGTATGAAAATCACTATCTGGACATTGGTCACCACAAGTTGTTACAAAACGCTGGTGCACTGGAAGATTACATTTAAAATATCTTTCGATGCAGTAGAAGACGTGTGTCTGTCAGTGCTTTGGGGTAAAGCCCTAAAATACAAGATATAATGCCATACCTCCCAAGTATATCTATTTAGATGGGACGGTTCCTATTTTTGACCCAAATTGCCCTGTCCCTCTTTTCAATCCTAATGTCCCTCTTTCATAGGAGCTCCATTTTGTTGGTTTTTAATACTGTTTTAGTCATTTTGCTCACACCTGATCCCTGTATTGCTGTTTTATTCTTGTTTTATTGAGGATAAAGATATTAACAATCAGACATTGCGGAGAATGCATACACAGTCAATAGTAATACATATATGAGCATGGTAAGTATGTCATTCAGAGACAGCGAGGCTCAGTTTTGTTTATTTTAAAGTAAAGAATCAGTAAGTAACATGCTGGTTTCAAGATGGAAAGCCTCAGGCTGACAGCATAACAATAGTACACTATATCTAAGTAATGAGATGCAGATATATACCAAAATTAAGAAACAAAAATTTAAGGAGAGAAGAGATGATGCTTGGATATGTGTCACAAAAGGTGCTGCTGAACAGGGGGGGTGATCAGTCCTCTGCCAAACTCAGCTATCCTACGGGTAGCATGATGGTTGCACTGCCCACAGAAACTTGGTGCCAGGATCGGGTGCCTCTGCAGCCCCAGGCTTTGATTAGGACTGGCATCTGTGTGCCACAGGCTGGGTTAGCATTATAGTCCAAGACTATCCCCTTTTGAGGGTGGTCGGAGGATCAGGCTGACAGGCGCTGCTTAATGCGGACAGTCCTCTTCCATGGTGGGTATAAGCTCATGTGGTCCTCGGCCTAGGTGAGTGAGGAACAGGATGCACAGGTTTTCCCAAAGCTTTTCACCATGAATAGGCCCCTTTGTCTCTGGCAGCTTGTCTCCCCAGGCTCTGCCCCTTTGCTCGATTTTGGTAGTTGCTATACGTTGCTGGAGTGTGAGCCAGAAGCGATTGAAATGGGGGTCGAGCCGCAGTTGGAACTCCGCAATAGCGTTGCTGGGAGCCTTCTGGAGGTGACTCATGTCATGTAAAGTTGTGAGAGAAACGCCTGCCATGTTTGAGGGCTTGCACGCAGTTCACCGCTTCTTGCACGGTGTGATAGGTATCTGCAGTCAGGTCTGTCAGCACCGAGAGGACTGGGACATCCCCCACTGATCCAGGGGGAGTGGGGTGGGTGGGTGGGAGTGCAGCAGGTCCAACTGTAGGGCTAGGGCACAAGGAGATCATCCTCCTCTCCTCAGTCCAGGCCCCAGTAGGCGGCAACAGGATCCTCGGGCACTCGGTAGTGAAAATAAGCAATTAAGCTCCAAAATCAGGCTCAAAAAGCCAATTTTCAGCAAGAAATGCAGGAGCTCAAGCTGTACACGTCTGATCAGCTTGGTGGTCAGGCTCCGCCGCCTGTATTTCTGTTTTAAACATTTTGGCCAAGCAATATCACCATTGCAAAGCCATTTTTAGCTCATTCATAGGATCTGCACAGCTGTCCGCATTTGCATCTCTATAATTTGAAAGGGCCATCAATTTTAACGTTCTTGCCAAAATCAGGCTAAATAATACTTCACAGCTACTCTCTAATATATAGGACCCTTGAATATACCCTGATAAATCCCTAGGTCCAACATGGACCTTGTTCTAGGCTTAGAGTTTGCAAGGACCTTTTCTTCCCCAATCTTTGTCCCCCTATTCTCTTTATTTCCCTTGTTCCTCCTTTTTTCTTTTGTTATTTCTCTTTGTATTATTTGTCAGTCCCATTGCTTTCTTGACTACTTTTTGTATTACTTATTTTGGCAAATTGCCCATTTTCTGTACTTATAAAGAATGCTCAGTGCCATCTTGTATCTTCATTTTATACATATATGAGCACCTGTGTCTTGTCATATGTATACTTTGTGTGTTCATGTTTTGCTGAACGTTCTTTATTTAATGTATCTATATTAGAACATCATTAATACTGAAAACTGGTTGCTTTCAGTTATAATAAAACAAAATACAGCAAAAGGGTTAACAGTTTACACAGCTCGAATTTCAGAAGTCCTTACAGTACTTCTCTTTCTGTGCCTCAACTTCCTGCAGTTTAGCCACAAACACATCTTTAATTTCACAGCTACGCAGCAAACGGTATGAAAATGTTAAAGCTGCTTCGTTGACATGTTCTGATGCAAGCTGTGAGTTTATCAAAGAAAGAACAAGTGTCGTGACAAAGAGCAAACCCTTAAAAAAATCTTTATTTAACTCCCCGTTCAGCCTTCTACTTTTTCCTCAATCTGTGTCCTGTTCTCTGTACTTCTCTGTAAATCTGTTGTGTATTTTTAACATTGTTATATGCATAAAAATAAACATATATATTCATAAACTACAAGACCACATTTCTCCAAAACCCCAACATGGAATTACTTTCTCCTAATGTACATTTCACTGTTATGTCTTTATATTACATGACACATATTTCAAATGGACCAAGATAGACTTTCATTTTAGGGATCTGGGAAGAGGGATTGCTAGGACCTGAGATGTTCTAAGACATTTTAGGTGGCTTACTAATAATAATGTTTGCAACTATACTGCAATTTTGAAAAAACAATGTATTTTATTTACATAGATTAATTTTTCTTAACACATTTATTGCAGTTTAAAGATAGTTACATAGTTACATAGCTGAAAAGAGACTTGTGTCCATCACGTTCAGCCTTCCTCACATTCGTTTTTTGCTGTTGATCCAAAAGAAGGCAAAAAAAACCCAGTTTGAAGCACTTCCAATTTTGCAACAAGATAGGAAAAACATTCCTTCTTGACCCCAGAATGGCAGTCAGATTTATCCTTGGATCAAGCAGTTATTACCCTACATTGAAAGATTATATCCTTGAATATTCTGTTTTTGCAAGTAGCTGTTTGAACATCTGTATGTACTCTGATAAAACCACTTCTTCAGGCAGAGAATTTCACATCCTTATTGTTCTTACAGTAAAAAAAAACCCTTTCCTTGGCCTTAGACGAAATCTTCTTTCTTCCAGTCTAAACGCATTATTGTGAGTATTATTTCTGTGAAGCTCACACCAACAATATGGAGTTCCTAGAAAAGAAGGAAATTAGGATAGAAAAGAAGGAAATTAGGATAGAAAAGAGGGACAGAGGGACAGTTTTGGAAATAGCCCATAAGTGGCATCACAAATAAAACATATATACATACATTAAACTTATGGGATCCTTAACCGCTACATAGTATCTGTTTTTTTTAGAAAGAAACGAAAAGGATCAATAATAGTGCAATAAGTCATTAAGAGTAAAATAGAATAAAGTGCTGTAGCGAAAGCTCATGTGGCCAGAACTTCTTTAGGGAAATCTGAGTTTTTAGCCATATACTGGACATTACCACTATAATTTTGGCACTAAACCTGCTAAACTTGCTGAGGAATGGTCCGCGGAACTTTGTACCTGCATTAGCCTGGGTTTGGTGGCTTTTTTTTTTTTTATGGTTAAAGAAACACTGTGACATACATGTCCCGAAGTGTTTGAAATTAGTGGTAGTTACACTCCCAAGTTCAGACATAGTTAAATTAAAATGGTAGCCACTGGCAATTCGGGGTGTATGACCTCTTAAATACCCTGGATTGTCTAGTTTTGCAAATGGTATGCCACGATGGGATAATTTTCTTTCCTGGGCTGCTGAATGGTTTCAAAGGCACACAAGCCCAGTAAACCAATCTGGCAAATTTCAATGTGTAAGATGTGCAAAAAGTGAAATAGGCAAGCTCTTTATTTGACCCTCTAACTTTCCAAAACACCATGAAACCTGTACATAAGGGACATCCTCGTACTTGGCAGACATCACCGCATACAAATATGTGTATTTTATTGCAGTAAAAGCTAACAGTATTATGATATTTACAGTTAAAATGCCATGCAGATGTTGGAAAATAAAACCATTTCTCAAATTCTCACACTTTATTTAGATTTAATTCCTATTACATTATGGTTCATACATACATATTTGATGTGAAATTAAAGCCAAATTTTTCCTGAACAAAATGATATATAATAAGTGCGACTGCACTTAAAATAAGAGAGGTAAATTATGGGTGAACAGACATATAGCTCAAATTCTAGGTTTTGATTTGTTTCAGAACTTGGGCAATTTCCTCCATCCTTAAGAGGTTAAAGGAGGAATGTATCATATTTTAGTATTTTAATACTGCTAATTTAGGTATCTTCTGGGATTCAGTGATTTGAAGCACTCCACTATTTAAACTGATTTAGGATGTTTAAGATGTGCATAAGAAAGGTAAACGTATAGTGTTTTAAAGCTGCAGACAAAATCTTTTTTATATATTTTCAATATTTGTCACTTTGGAAATGCCTGGGATTGTAACTCTTGTTTTCGGATTGCTTCATTATGTTGGTTACTTCTCAGCTTCAATTACAGCAACCCATTATGGAGAGCTGTGGGTGATCTGCCAATACAAATATATTAAAAGAAAAACCTCCCAATAATCTCAAGTGGTTTAGGACAGGTGTGCATGTGTAATTGATAAATATGTGCATGGATAATATCAGTAGCTACATGTTATGGAATTCTAAAATATGATCTGCCTGTTGAAATAAGGAGTAGGTCAGTTAATATACACAATGGGGTGCTGTGGATAGATGTAGCTCTGGTGGTTCTGCAAAAAGGTTTCTTCCAACTTCTTTTTGTCGTCTTCCCCCTTCCATGTCCTTGTACGGTCCTTGTACATCCAAAATGTTTCTCACTTTAATTTTCCTCCTTTCTTTATTTACAATGTTCCATTAGTGTGTGAACAAACTTATCACTGTTGAATAAAGAAAAACAATGTCTCTCCTTTGGAACTGATCATAAATAGAGCAGAGGTAAAATATTTTTCCAGGATAAGGACTAGCAAATTACATATTTAAATATATATAGATTCAGTAAATTTGCAGCCCACCACACACACACCTTGCACTACTTCCAAACTATGGATAATTTAGGATCCAGGCAATCCAACACATTAGATAACCAAGCTCCCTTAGTCTCCCTGGTATGAGAGTTAAAGGTTTACTTCAACCCCTTTGTTATACATCTCATTTTCACTTTTCAATGCTCTGTTGGGCATTAGCAATTAGATCCCCCCCTGTAAACTAAGCATAAACTTACCTGGAATGCAGAGCCGGGTGAAGACTCTGCAATGGTTTCCAAACTACTGTCAATGTCACCGCCTCTCTCGCGAGGTCCAATCAAATGCTTCTCACAGAGAAGCATTTGGTTGGACTCTTCTCCTTGGCCAAGAGTACATGTGCACACTCTGAGACAAGAAGGTGAGGGAGAAAGAGGCGGTGGGATTTAAAGCAAAAATGAAAAAACAGTCAAACACTAAACAGAGAGGAGGGACACTAAAACTTTCAGTTGTAAGCGCTATGCATGTAATTTTTGCACATGATTGATTTAAGACAGCCTGAAACAGAGTACTGAGCTACGGGTGCCGGGGGTTTAACTAGTCCTCCGCAGAAAAGGGCAGATATCTCTGGATGTGCAGTGTTTTAAGTAGAAACGCTGCACATACAGACTCCTACCACCATGACCACTTCTAAATGCAGAAGTGGCTATGGTGGCTGGAGTCATCCTTTAGTCTTGCAATATAATTTAGCAGGGAGGGATAGTTTATACTTTGTGAATGAAGTATAGCTGATAGTGCCTATATCATTCCTTCTACAACCAAGATCACTAATGGCCTCTTTAATGACACTGTTAGATTAAACATTGAAAATCGCTGCTAAATTATGTTAATCTTCTTTTCTGTCTACGCTGACTGACAGGTGCAAACAGCAGAGTTTAGAGCAATTATATATCAGATTGAGGGGCTGTGTTCCCAGATAAAAGTAAATACACCTTCCGACAGCACTTACCTTCTGTTATTTTATTCTAATCTGTACTCACTTACTCTGCTACTGTTAAGAATAAATTGTCTTGCCAGGCACATTTGTTATTATCAATCTATGTGTTTTAGTATTGCCGGTGTGTTAGGCTCATACAGCTGACCTTTGCTTAACATGTTTTATTAATTATCTACTATAGGTGGAACTGATAACTCCCTAACCATAGCTAGGTATTAATTTACTATCCACCATGTGCATTTCAATACAAATCTGGCTTACTATCTTTACCCACTACCACTGTATTACTGGGAGCTTCGATGTGTCCTCTTAGCCTATATACTATAACTGTAAAATGAGGCAGCCATGTCTTGGAGGATATATCAATGTATGTTTCATTACAAATTGGATGTATGACGATTTAATATGTATCCCCATCTTCTTTTCTGTACCCAACTTACCTATGCCTCAATAAAAGAAAGATTTACAAAAAAAGTAAATACAGGTGTGTGATTTTCTATAATTTTTTTTCTCTCAATTTCAGGGCTTACAAACAGATATGTTAAATATAGAGGATAAGTCAACAACAATATATTAAAATATTATTGTTGTATATATTATTAAATATTAAAATCTTGGGAATGTTTTGTTTATATTTACGAGCTCTATTCCAGACCACTTATCTTGATCAATACATGTTGGGTATTTAACTAGGTTTTGCTCTTGCCCACTTTGGTAAATTAGATGAATAATCAAGTCATATATATTTCAATGGATTCATGAACTAAAATAGAATTTTTAATTATGTCCGTTCTGGCCGAGACCCTTTCATGACAACTGCTACTCTTCTGAAACCATAAAAGTGATAGAAAAAGAAACCATAAGAAAAAGGTTTGTTGGATTTCCTCTTTCATATTTTCACGACATACAATGACCCAATGCCCTGTCTGGTGCCATATTATACATATGAAAACCTGTCTGAAGCGTGGGCATGGTTAGACTTTGATGTGGTAAAGGGGAATTCAGATATGTTGATTTACACCACAGATTTCCCGCAGATAAATTTATGTGGAACGTTAAGGAGAGAAATGCCATACTCATATTACACACATTACTGTATGCTGCGACGATCTCAGCAGACCTAGACAAGATATGGTACAAGATGCACTTTATCTCTGAAATAAGCAGAACAGGAACCAGCATAGTTTGAGCTCTTGATTGTAAATAGATAACCTACTAATGGAACGTGCAACTATTGGTATAAGTAGACCCTTCACCTAGGGAAAAAAAACAAATTTGTTCCACATTTATTTGTATTTATGCAGACACCTAGGTACTTCTGTGTATTTTGTTACACTTATTATTCTACAATATAACTGTATATTGTTTACGGGTGGTTGAACTTTCATGGTATATTTTTCTTGTATATAACTAATAACTGTACAATATTTGCTTAAAAAAGTTATTTGTATTGGAATGCTATCACAGTCTTTAGTTATCCTGGGGTTTATTCTACATTCTGAAAACTCAACAGTTCGGTTGTGATCAATATATTAAATAATAATGTTAGATAGAAGAAGCAAAAAACAAAAACGTTTCTGAAGTATGTTTTTACAGCAGATCTAGCCCATACCTTTCAACATGTAAAATAGAAAAAAGGGACACATTAATTTTAGGAGTGTGAGTGGGTGTTCTGCGAAATTTTAGGTGACATAAAAACAGCAATTATTATTATATCTTATTTACACAGACTGATTTCTAAACACATTTATTGCATTTTAAAGACACATTACTGTATTAATGATGTGATGTTCTGGAATACACTCAAGACACACAAACAATACTGATCCCCTATGAAAGAGGGACCTTAGGACAGAAAATAAGGGAGGGGGTCTTTTCTTAACACTTGGGACAATTGGGAGGTGTATATGGAGCCGAATGTTGTTACCTCTAGCTGTAGAACGACCCTAACCCATATACACAGCCTGCTTTAACCACTTCACTACCAAGAACATTTTGTTTGAAAAAATATTAGCATTATTTGAAACAAAGGATGCATAACTAACACATATAGTACAAAAACTATTTTGTGTACATATTGGTTTTCAGACAAATTTAAAAAGTTAAATTATGAAAATGTATACAATTTTTATATTTAATTTCATCCTGTATTGACGTTTCTGAGGAATGAAGAACATTAGATAGTATACAGTGTCCTTTATCTTGCAATATTTCTGAAATAGTGATATAATAGTATACATACAGAAGGGGTGACAAAATTAAATAAATAAACATGTTCAAATAGCTTGCTTGGTAAATAACCTACAGGCGCTACTAACAGTACAGCTTATTGAAAATGTCAGGAGAATCTAAAATTAATGAATGAGCAAAATTCCAACACACAATACTTCATATTAAATAATATATTTCTAAAATAAAGGTAATTATCACTTCCAATAAAAAAACAAACAAACAAACAAAAAAAAACAGTGTCATCAATTCCTTCACAGGTATCAACAAAAATATAAATCACTAGAATAACTAGTATAATAAAAAAAAAGCTATGTACATGAAAAAGTCAAGACATTGGGTCAAAAGTGGCTTATAAAAGAAAAAACAATAAACAACAAGAGCTTAGTGTGTGTATAGAGAGGGACAGGAATGAGCCAGTAACCTGCTATAAGGTAACTGACATTATGATTTGAAAGAGTCCACATCAGCAGTTCCCAATCTGTGCGCGAGGAACTATGCCTCGTTGTAGTAGCCAACAGGTTATAAAAGCTACCTGTGTACTGTCCAGCACATGCACTCCAATGCTTACACCTCGATGAAGTCCACAGAATCTGGAATGTCAAAGGTTGCCTACCCCTATACTAGACCATTCGTTCTCGGCAGGCAGGTATACCTCCAAGCTCTGCAAGGGCTTCTTCTGCGTTTACAACCAATCACAGTTATGGTATCGTCACTGTGCCAAACTTCTGCCAATGTGTTTTATCTGAACTCCAGACTTTCTAACCTAAGGACGTTCTTTTAGGAGTCTGTTAAAGGACCACTAAAGTGCCAGGAAAATATACTCGTTTTTCCTGGCACTATAGTGCCCTGAGGGTGCCCCCACCCTCAGGGCCCCACTCCCGCCGGGCTCTGGGGAGAGGAAAGGGGTTAAACTTACCTTTTTTCCAGCGCCGGGCAGTGAGCTCTCCTCCTCCTCTCCGCCTCCGATCCTCCTCTTCGGCTAAATCCGCATGCGCGGCAGGAGCTGCGTGCGCATTCAGCCAGTCTCATAGGAAAGCATTCATAATGCTTTCCTATGGACGCTGGCGTCTTCTCACTGTGATTTTCACAGTAAGAAGCACGCAAATGCCTCTAGCCAGTGGCGTCTCTAGGATTCATTTTTAGGGGGGACACATGGAGGGCCAGGAACAAAAGTAGGGGGGCACATTTAACCCCGCCCTCGCCGCAGTTTCACCCCGCCCCTGTTGCATGTTAAGCCCCGCCCCCGACACAATGTGTTTTGTTTTTTTAATAATCCCTCGTGGAGGATTCATTATTTTCCACCAGGGATTATTAAAAAACAAACACATTACCCTTGATAGAGTGCCATAGTTGCCAACATTTAAAAAAAATTTCCAAGGACATTTTGCAGCACAGCTATCAATTACTGTCTGGGTATAATATCCCTGGACAGTCAGTGCTCTCTGTATAATACAGAGTTGTGTGTAAAATAAATTGGGACACTCAGTGCTCCCTGTATAGTGCTGCTCTCTGTATAATACAGGTCTGTTTGTGTATAATATCCCAAGACAGAGAGCAGCACTATAGAGGGAGCACTGAATGTCCCGGGATATTATACAGGCACAGGCCTGTATTATACAGAGAGCAGCACTATACAGGAAGCACTGACTATCCCGGTATATTATATACACACAGATCTGTATTATACAGATAGCTGAGCATATACCCCATGTCCCAATCTCTAGACTACTAGTACCTGTCAACAGCAGCTCCCAGACGCGTGTAACAGGGCTAAAGTGTGCAGCAGCTCACACAGATGATTCAGCAGTAAAGTGCACTCGCTGGCAGAGCCAAACTGGGAATCCAAAGCAGCCCTGGAAAAAAAAATTGTGCCATTCCTACAAGTCAATATATATATATATATATATATATATATATATAGTACAGTAAGCACACAAGCTCACTTACATGCGCAAATAGGCGTACTGACAGACAAAACTCTCTGACTCACACACAAGCTTACTACAGACAAACTCACTTGTATAAACAGAAGGCTCACTACAAAGAAGTTCAGACACACACACAAGCTCACTGACACACACATGCTCACTAAATAGAAGCTCACTGACACAGTCAGTACCATTTTAACAGAGTTAAGGGCTCCCGGGCAAAGCAATGCACTGGGGCCCTTCCTACACAACAACTCACAGGAATTTTAATTATTGATAGACTGCTGAGTCCATACACACACAGACTGCTGAGTCCATACACACACACACACACACACAGACTGCTGAGTCCACACACAGACACACACTGCTGAGTCCATACACACACACGTGCTGAGTCCACACACACACACAGACTGCTGAGTCCATACACACACACACAGAGACTGCTGAGTCCATACACACACACAGACTGCTGAGTCCATACACACACACACATACATACACACAGACTGCTGAGTCCATGCACACACACATAGACTGCTGAGTCCATACACACACATACATACACACAGACTGCTATGTCCATACACACATATACACACACACAGAGACTGCTGAGTCCATGCACACACACACAGACTGCCAAGTCCATACACACTCACAGACTGCTGAGTAAATACACACACACACACACACACAGACTCTGCCGAGTCCGTACCCACACAGACTGCTCTGTCCATACACACACAGACTGCTGAGTCCATACACACACACACAGACTGCTGAATCCACACACAGACACACACTGCTGAGTCCATAAACACACACACACACAGACTGCTGAGTCCACACACACACATACATACACTGCTGAGTCCATACACACACTCACATACTGCTGAGTCCATACACACACACACAGACTGCTGAGTCCATACACACACACACAGACTGCTGAGTCCATACACACACATACACACACACAGACTGCTGAGTCCATGCACACACACATAGACTGCTGAGTCCATACACACACATACATACACACAGACTGCTATGTCCATACACACATATACACACACACAGAGACTGCTGAGTCCATGCACACACACACACAGACTGCCGAGTCCATACACACTCACAGACTGCTGAGTAAATACACACACACACACACACAGACTCTGCCGAGTCCGTACCCACACAAACTGCTCTGTCCATACACACACAGACTGCTGAGTCCATACACACACACACACACAGACTGCTGAATCCACACACAGACACACACTGCTGAGTCCATAAACACACACACACAGACTGCTGAGTCCACACACATACATACACTGCTGAGTCCATACACACACTCACATACTGCTGAGTCCATACACACACACACACACACACAGACTGCTGAGTCCATACACACACACACAGACTGCTGAGTTCATACACACACACAGACGGCTGAGTTCATACACACACGCGACAAAAAATACAACACAAAGAAGGCTTCTAAATGTCCCACACATTTTAGCGTAGGACCCACCAACATTGGGGTACTTTGAAAGCAGTGGTGGGCTTAACATCATATGGCCATATGGTGGAACTAAATCCCCATATTTATTCTTAGATAGGAAATTTAGAAGCCTTTTTGTGTTATATTTTTTTTCGTAGTCTGAGTGCGCCGGAAATAATTTTTCTTTTCATGTATGAAGTTTGGTCACTGCGGCAGCACCTTTCATGCAAAATGCAGGTCTCGGGTGTGCCCCCAGTCCTTTCTCTGAATGTGTTTATCTGCCTGTAACTGTGTATGTGTGTAACTGCCCGTACCTGTATGTTTCTACCTGATCCTGTGTATGTGACTATCTGCCTGTGACTGTGTGCATGTGTCTGTATTTAACAGTGTATATGTATAACTGTGTGCATCTGACTGTGGGACTCACACATAGGCCTAAAAACATATTTTTAGCTGAATTAAATACCCATCACACACAGCCAACTAACCCAGCAAAAATATCACCTACGACCAATACAAGCATATCACACAGTCAATCCACCCATTACAAATATCACACATAGCCAACACATAGCATACATCAGTGGCGGATCCAGGGGGGGGGCAACGGGGCAATTGCCCCCCCGAGAAATCCGACGGTCTCCCTCCCCTGCCAGCAGCACATGCAGGTGCTAGCCCTGCAATGTGCCTGCGGACCGGGGGGAGATCAGAGCTCTCCCTCCCCGGTCCGCAGGCACTGTGCTTACAGCCGGCAGGGGAGGGAGGGAGGGAGAGAGGACCCGGGAGCTCAGCCTGCAGCTCCTCCGGGTCCTCCTCTCGCGAGATTTGAAGCGTTGCCGCGGTTACCACGGCAACTTTTCAAATCTCGCGAGAGTGAACTCTAACCCGGGAGCGTGGGCTAGAGTTCACTGTCCCCGCTGGGACCACCAGGGAATCCCCCACTGGGATCACCAGGGATCGAAATATGTCCCCCCTCCTCCCAGTAAAGGTAAGAAGGGAGGGGGGACATAGGATATTTATTTTAATTAAATTAAAAAAATATATATTATAAAAAAAAAAAGCCACACACACACATTGCCCCCAATACTGCCCCCCCCATTCACACAAACTGCCCCTCATTCACACAAACTGCCCCCCCATTCACACAAGCTGCCCCTATACACACATACTGCCCCCTATACACACACATACAGCCCTCTATACACACATACTGCCCCCACACACATACAGCCCCCCATCCACACACACACTGCCCCCCATCCACACACACTGCCCCCACACACACACTGCCCCCCACATACACAAACTGCCCCCATACACACACACTGCCCATCATACACACACACTGCCCATCATACACACACACTGCCCCTCATACACATACACTGGCCCCCATACACACATACTTCCCCACATACACACATACTGCCCCACATACACACATACTGCCCCACATACACACATACTGCCCCCCATACACACACACACTGCCCCCATACACACACAAACTGCCCGCCATACACACAAACTGCCCTCATACGCACAAACTGCCCCTCATACACACGCACTGCCCCTCATACACACGCACTGCCCCTCATACACACATACTGCCCCCCATACACACACATACTGCCCCCCCATACACACACTGCCCCCCATACACACACACTGCAACTGTTACACACACATACTGTCCCACACATACACTGCATCCCTGACATACACTGCCGCCCTCACTCACACACTGCAACCTTCACACACACACTGCACCCCTTACACATTGCACCACTCACACACACCACTGCTCCTATGCCCTACTACAGCCCCATTCCCAGCAGATCTCAGGTAAGTTGTCAAACTGTTCTTAAACTGTTTGACTACTTACTGTGGAAGGGGGTCCCGGCACTATTGACACCATAACCACTACACTGAGCTGTAGTGGTTATTGTGTCTGGATTATTTCTTTAAATAATCTACAAGTGCCCCTCCCGAGATCAGGCTCTGGATCTGCCACTGGCATACATATCACACACAGTCATCACACCTGTCACATACACAGATAAAACACAAACATTACATCACATTATAGTGAGATGTATTACAGTGGAGCTCTGGTATATAAAATGCACATTACTCTGTGTTTTATAGTTAGGGAGCTCGGTGATACACTAATAGGCACATTACTTGGAGTTGTATTGTTGTGTAGTGTTTGAGCTTGTCACAGAGTTCCACATTACCGTGAGTTTTATTGTTGTGGAGTTCTGTAATAAACCGGCACACACCACATAGTACTGTGAGGGCTTTTTGTTTCTGTGGAGCTCAGTGATAAATGGAGAAACAGCGCATTACTACAAATTTTTATTCCAAAGAGGTCAAGGTAAATAAGTATAATCCACAGCTCACAAGCAAAACCACACACAGTATTGTGTGACATACTTAGTCTGCTCCTCTGTAATGTAGGGGAGGCAGTCTGGCACTTCTGACCTGCACTTCTGTTGGCTGCAGACCATAAGTAGCGGTCTTACTAGCTCGGGCCAATCAGAGTGCTGCCATAGATTACCACAGGACACTGCAAGTCCCTAAGCTTGCGAGACAGTTACGCATGGTCTGCACTCAGTGGAGGGGCAGACCAGATTCAGATCAGCATGCCCCTCTCCAAACTAGGTAACAACCATAGGCGTGCGCACGGGGTGTGCCTGGGCCTATGTATATTGAGACTGGCAGGGGAGATCTCAGGATCCCCCGTCGGCTCATGCAGAGCCGACGCTATCCAAGCGCCGGCTCTGCTCTCAGCCTCCCTCCCTACCGACCCACATGCAGGGAGGGAGGCAGGAGAGGACCGGCGGAGCTCTTGCCAGTAGCTCCGCCGGGTTCCTCTCGCGAGATATGAGCGTTGCCACGGCAATGCTCAAATCTTGCGAGAGTGAACTCTAGCCCCACAGGGGCTAGAGTTCACTCTCCACTGGACCACCAGGGATGGAAGCAGCAGGAACAAGGATCCCACCTCCCAGGCATAAGGTAAGAAGGGAGGGGGGATAGCAAGTAATGTTCCCCCACCTCCACCCCCACAATCACCCACACACATACAGCACACACACCCTCACATACAGCACACACAGACATATACAGCACCCACAGACATACACAGCACCTACACACATACAGCACCCACAGACATACACAGCACCTACACACACACACCGCACCCACAGACATACACAGCACCCACACACACACACACTGCACCCACAGACATACAGCACCTACACACATACAGCACCCACAGACATACACAGCACCTACACACATACAGCACACACATACAGCATCCACAGACATACACAGCACCCACACACATACAGCACCAATAGACATACACAGCACCTACACATATACACAGCACCCACAGACATACAGCACCCACAGACATACAGCACACACATACAGCACCCACACACATACAGCACCAACACACATACACAGTAGGGATCGACCGATTATCGGTCTGGCCGATATTATCGGCCGATATTTGGTATTTTCGGCAATATCGGTATCGGCCAATTCAGATACCGATATTGCCGATAATATATAACAGGACCGCCGGGCCCGGCCCACAAACCCGGCGGTCCTGTAGGCTCAGCAGCAAAGCGCGGCACCCACCTGCTTAGCTCCTGCAGCTCTGTATAAATCTCGCGAGACGCTGGCCTTGAAGGCGTTACCCGCAGACCGCCAGCAGCGGCGCTCAGCAGCGTACCGACGGGTACGCAGACTGAGCTGCACAAATAATCCCGCTAACCACTGTGCCGCTCAAAACCACTGGACCAGGGAATACTATATCCCCCTCCCTGGTAAGAAGCAGGGAGGGGGGACTAAACAAAAAACATTTCAATATTAAAAAAATATTAAAATAAAAAATTACACAAATTACATCACTACACACACACTGCACACATACTGCATTACATACACACTACACAAACACACACTACACAAACACACACTGGGGGGGGACTAAACAAAAAAAAAAACATTTAAATATTAAAAAAAATTAAAATAAAAATTACACAAATTACATCACTACACAAACACACACTACACAAACACACACTGCACACATACTGCATTACATACACACACTGCATTACATACACACTACACAGGCACACACACTGCATTACATACACACACTACACAGACA